GGCGAGATGAGGAGGTGCTGGAGGAGAGCCCATCATGGGAGAACAAGCCCCTACACGGCATGTACCACCGGAGCATAACAGAAGTGGCTGATCTCAAGAAGTCCTACCAATGGCTAGAAAGGGCTGGCCTACAGGACAGCACAGAGGCACTCATCATGGCTGCACAGGAACAGGCACTGAGCACCAGAGCGATTGAGGCCCAGATATACCACACCAGACAAGACCCAAGGTGTCGGTTGTGCAAAGAGGCACCTGAGACGATCCAACACATAACTGCAGGGTGCAAGATGCTGGCAGGGAAGGCCTACATGGAACGCCATAACCAAGTGGCTGGCATAGTGTACAGAAACATCTGTGGAGAGTATGGGCTGGAAACCCCAAGGTCTAAGTGGGAAACTCCTCCAAAGGTGGTGGAAAATGAGCGTGCGAAGATCCTGTGGGACTTCCAGATACAGACCGACCGAATGGTAATGGCAAACCAACCTGACATCGTGGTGGTAGACAAAGGGCAGAGGACAGCCATGGTGGTGGACGTGGCAATTCCAAGCGATGGTAACATCCGGAAAAAAGAACATGAAAAGCTTGAGAAATACCAAGGTCTCAGAGAGGAGCTGGAGAGGGCCTGGAGGGTAAAGGTGACAGTAGTGCCCGTGGTGATCGGTGCACTCGGGGCAGTGACCCCGAAGCTAGATGAGTGGTTACAGCGGATCCCCGGAACAACCTCGGACATCTCGGTCCAGAAATGTGCAGTGCTAGGAACAGCAAAGATACTGCGCAGAACCCTCAAGCTCCCTGGCCTCTGGTAGAGGACCCGAGCTTAGAGAGGGATAACCGCCCGCGGAGGGCCAAAGGTGAGTGGACAATTTTTTTTTTTTTTATATATATATATATATATATTTTTTTTTTATTATTATTATTATATTCATTCATATATTTCATTTATATTTTATAACTTGAAAAATAGTATGTTTTATAAAAAATATAATAATTATAATAATAATAATTATTATTATTATAATTATTATTATCTTATACTTTTCTCTTGTGTACTAGTCTTGGTTTGGTTTGTTCTTATATACGCAAAGTTGATATTGTCAACAGACTTAATTCTGGATTAGTTATGGCTTAACGTACGGCAAATGTATTTCATTTTTTTAGTTTCATGACCTTATGCTGTCATGAAAAGGAAGTATTTTCAAGAGTAATTATTCCAAATAGTTCCTCCTCTTGGCAAACCGCAACCAGTAAGAATTGCTGGATGATGGTCTAACTTGCACTTGCTCTTGTAAAATGTTTTCTCTTCACATTTTGAAAAGTAATTGACATTCACTTCAATCATACAGTAGTTCGATCTATTGGTAATCATGCTGGATTTGCACATGGCTTAATCGTTTGCATTAAATATAGCAGAGACAGTCCAAAACTCATCATTAACACTGATCAAATATTCCTTCTGTTTGATCTGGACTCGCAAGTGAATTGATGTAGAGACCATAACCTTCTGAAAAATCCTCGTACAGAGGATTATTATTTTGACAATTTCAAGGAGGCTATTTTTTCAGATTACAGTTTTGTTCGTAGCTCTTAGGTGGAAATAAAACCAGAGCAGTACAAGCAGTGAAAAATCAGAGGCAACATTATAGCATATATTGTAGAAATCGGAGGCAACGTTCTACTTTATAGAAGCGATCCAGTATATTTTGTATGTGTATTATACGGGGCACCTAGAATCTCTGTCTGGAAGAGTGGTCAATTCAATTCAACTCAATTCAAATCTGCCATTCGTGGGGAAAGTCTTTGAAAAAGTTGTCTACCAACAACTTAAGAGATTTCTCATAATCAACAACTCATTTGATATGTTTCAGTCCGGCTTTAGACCCCACCAAAGCACTGAGACTGCTCTCATTAAGGTAACAAACGATATCTAGGGGTAATACTTGACTCAGACTTAAATTTTAATAGCCACATCAAATCAGTAACATCAGCAGCTTTTTACCATCTAAAAAACATTGCCAGGATCAAAAACATAGTGTCTAAAGCAGACTTGGAGATTCTTATCCATACATTTGGCTCCAGTAGGTTAGACTACTGCAATGGCCTGCTCACAGGTCTGTCCAAACAGGCTGTAAAACAGCTGCAGTACATTCAAAATGCAGCAGCTCGAGTCCTGACTAGAACCAGGAAGTACAATCACATTAGTCCAGTTCTCAGGTCTCTGCACTGGCTTCCTGTGGCTCAGAGAATAGACTTTAAAACAGCTCTGCTTGTGTACAAGTCTCTCCATGGCCTCGCACCAAAATATATTCGTGACATGTTAGTACCACATGAACCAAGCCGGACTCTGAGGAGCACAGGGACTGGACTCCTGTTAGTGCCCAGAGTCAGAACTAAACATGGGGAGGCTGCATTTCAGATTCATGCTCCTAAAATCTGGAACAATCTTCCTGAAGATGTGAGACAGGCCTCCTCAATGACAATGTTTAAAACCAGGTTAAAAACAGTTCGGTCTAGCTGTGCATACAACTGAGGGATTTTATAGATTTAAATGCTATCTTATTTTGTTTAGCACTTTGAGTTGCCTTGCGTATGAATTGTACTATATAAATAAACTTGCCTTGCCTATTCTTGTTGTGCCCTAAATCACAACAGTAGTTATTTCGGAGGACATTGATCAAACGTTGAAATCGCCAACACAGATCAGAGAATCCCAAAACCCAAAAAATAAAACAGAAAACACATTGGTATTGGTCCATAAGGGGCAGATTACCAATGTCCATAAGTGTGAATAAATGCCTGTAAATGAAAGTTACAGACACATGGAGAGAACATGTAAACTCCACTCTTTTGCCCCTGTTTTGACCGGGATTCGAACCCAGGACCATCTCGTTTAGAAGCAAGTCCTCCCCATTCTGCCTCTTTGCCGCCTACAGTGTTGCTATATCTGTGATTTATTCTTAGCCACATCCTAATGCGTGTAATCCATATCCTAATAATTACTATAATACTCTGCCCACTTCCTACGCAAGGCAAGTTTATTTGTATAGCAAAATTCATACAAGGCAACTCTACGTGCTGAACAAAACCATATAGAAACAATCACACAAGGCATCAAAATAAATAAATAATCTCAGTACATTAAAAAGAGTGAAGATGAAGTACGCACCGCTAAACAGAAATGTTTATAACCTGGATTTGAACAATGCCAGAGAAGAAGGCTGTCTTGCATTTTCAGGAAGCCTGTTCCAGAGTTTAGCTACATGAATCTACATGGTACACTGTGTATCCTCTCTTCTTGAGGCACTCTATGGGCTACCTTTTCACAAGTACAATATTGCTCAACTCAGATGATGGAAGATATGTTAAAGATAGAGATTTTATACTTGTTTCTTTGATGCAAGAGTTATAGATTGTAATTGATTTTAATTAGTTATTGTTCATTTGTTTTGTGCTGTGTGCTCTTCATGCATACTGTTATGTAACTGCTCATGCAACACTGAAATTTCGCCACTCTGGGACAATGAAAGGATCTCCTAAAGGAGCAGTATGTAAAAATCTGGCCAAAAGTGGTGTTCTTGTCTAAAAGTTCAAGGTAAGACCTAAACCAACTTAAGGCAGTGCCAGCGACGCCAACCCAGTCCTCTAGTCTCTGTAAGAGGATCTCATGGTCGACGGTGTCAAAAGGTGCACTAACATGATAAGACTGAGACTTTGCCTGCGTCAGTGTTCAGCCGGATATCGTTTGTCACCTTGACGAGAGCAGTCTCAGTGCTGTGGTGGGATCTAAACAGTGTTGCCAACTCCTCAGTAAGGAAAGTAGCTATTGGCTGTCCCAAAAGTCGCTAGAAGTCGCTAAATGACGTCATCGCCTAATTTGCATAATTGGCAATTTGCAAATAACTGTAACGGACGCTTTAGGAGAGAGGAATAACGTCGTGGGAGAGACAAAAGTGAGTAAAAAACACCCTAAATATGTTTAGAACTACAAATGTACAAAAATAATTTCAACATTAACAACATTTAATGATTTTAATGCTTTGTCTAGATCTGTCGCTAGTCGCTTTTTTGAAAAAAAGTCGCTATAGGGTCTGAAAAGTCGCTAAATCTAGCGACAAAGTCGCTAAGTTGGCAACACTGGATCTAAAGCCGGACTGAAACCTGACTCTCCCTGACTCAGGTTGCCAGATATGCAGACGAATCCAGCTTAGACCATAAAATCTGAATAGACAAGAGTTTTGTCAACAACAAATCTATAACCAACACCTTTTTGACCAAGGCCCCCGATAGAAGTCCTTGTTTTATTCCTTGTTTTGTCATTAATATTTTAAGAATCCTAACGATAAATGTTTTATTTCTGAGGCCACATGATACTTTACCAGTGAGATTAGCTTGATCCTGTGAGTTCTGGCAACCCGGATCACGGACTTTCTGATTGATGAAACGGTGGAGGGCGGATCATCGAAATTAAAACAATAACAAGATTTACGGGCTGCAAAACTAATTTTGAAATTCAAAAATCTCGGCTAAACTACTGTTATCAGTTAAAGAAGTATTCAAAAAGAGCATGGTTTATTAACGCCTTTTGACATATTTAATGATGACTTGACATGAAAATCTTACATATTACTACTTTAATCCAAAACAAATGGCTAGGCTCCATAGAGTCTATTTAACATTTATCTCGAATGCTGTTTGATTCTCCTGTATATTATCTCGTCTTGAGTGTTTCTTTTTACTCCTGACACTGACATTTCCCCGCCACAGGCCAAATAAAGGTCTCTTATCTTATCTTCTAACAAGCAAGGTGCCGCTTCCAATCACAAACGCTGTACCTTGATCTAATTGAGCCATTTCAGATCCCAGCCCGTGCTCTATATTATTTACAGTACATGCCCTATATGAACAGCCTTCATCTTTCACACCGTTGCCCTCCCTCGACTTTGCCTCCCGTCTTGAATCATCCTTTCATCATTGATCGCTGTGGTGTTGTTTTTTTCTCGTACCTGGCGATGACAAAGAGCACGCAGCTGACCCCGGTGCAGGCCAGAAGCACGTACAGCCAAATATCCGGGGACAGCGGGTTGAGGAAGGAGAAGACGCCCGGGTTGGTGCCGTTGGGTTTGCGGTACAGAATGCTGATGCCCAGAGTCATGAAGGGTTTGGAGAAATCTATGACCTTCTCTCGCACGTATGTGATGGTCAGAGGAGCCACGGCAAGGTCGGCCACCTAATAAAGTCACAAGAGTGGAAATGATTATCTATTGTGTGTGTGTAGTGTGCACTTGTATGTAGTAGTATTTTTATGAAGATTTTCTATGCATGTCTTATATTTATTATTATTACTTTTATGACTTGTTTGCGCCATGAGCAAAGGCAAATTCCTGTTTTGGGACTTCCTGTTACTTACAATGGCATAAAAAATAATTCTGTTTCTAATTCTGAATAAGCAAATATACAGTTGTGCTTGAAAGTTCACAAAGTCAACCAGAGATTTGGAGTTTATGAATGACAACACGAACCTTTTAGCTAGCGGTTGTGTGAAAACTCAAATAAACATGTTTCCTATGTTTACATTATTACACACAGTAAATGGTCTGGGGGAGAATTCATAGCACAGTAAGGATCAAAAGCTCTGTAATGATCTTGCACTTGTATTGAAACTGCTTTTGTTGATTGATTTCACAGTGACAATTGTTTCGTTTAATTATTAGCTTGTTCATCTATGACTTCATAGGGGCAATGCTGTACAAATTATAATGACCTTAGTTCTGCATAGAGCACACAGAACTGGGGTCATTATCATTTCAAAATAGAAAACAGCTTTACTTGACAATTAATGGTTTCACACAAGCACTAACAATAGGTGCGCAATTATGTGTGCACATTACCAAGTCATTACACAACTTTCACAGTGCCATTGTTTCCTGCACTTTGTTTTATGTCTGTACCTTTAACCTTGTTTTATTTATGTACTTGCTTGGTGCACACTGGGAACTTTTGCAAATATATTCCAATGTAGTTTTACAGCAAACGGCAAATAAAAATGAGTCTAAATCTGGCTGTACGTTTTTGCATAATCAGAAATACATTTGGTAAATCCTTCAAAGTTTCATATAAAATGTGTTTAAGAAAAAGAAAACTTGCATGGTCGATGAGTTCCCGGACCATCCCGTTCCACTCTCCTTTGTCGTTTTGAGCTCCGTATTTCCCGTCACCCACCAGCTTCACTTCATATGTAAATCCTAAAATGTTGGACAGCTCCTTCAGCAGGTCCAGGCAGTAACCTTCGTACCGGTCGTTCCCCACAAGCTCCTTATCCGACTTTTTGTTCATCACATATGGGTTTTCCTGTTTGGCACAAAATATTGTTAGCTGTTTAGTCATTTTCATATTAAAAACATTATGAAAAAATATGTATCTAACTACATGTTTTAGGGGAAAGGAGAAACTAGCATATTTCATGGCCGATAATTAGGAATGTTGCAAGAAGAATTTTGCCCACCTGTATGTATTGCTGAATAAATATTATATCAAGGCAATCTTTAATTAACGCCACTAAAATTTGATCTGCAATACATAAATAGCCAATTTAAAGTGAATAAGCCAGTTTTGATTATTCTGATATGAACTATTTATCCTTCTACATCTCAAATCTTATTCTGCTTTAGCGGTCCTGATGAAACTAAAATCTGTAAATAGGTGTGGCTGCGAACCTCCATCACTATTGTCAGCGTATCATTTTTTGGGGGGGATTTTCCGACAGTAGTGCTGTGGTGAAACAATAACTGATTATGTGTGTCTGGACTCAATACGTACTGCAGTCCAGTCTATTCAATTTTAACTCCAGTGAAGGTAGCCATGAGGTATGTCAGGTATTGTAAGAATGTAGGAATTCACAAAAAATCATGTTGCGTCTGCCAGCGTCTTTCAGGAGCAACAACATGGACATATACTGTACATCTACAAACAATGTGCCAAAGAAATGACAAGTGCTGAAGCTGAGTCGATTCGAGCTAGTTTCGAGCTGGTTTCTCCAAAAGAACATTCGTTAAAATAACTCTTCCATCCCTTCGTTGTGTTTGTAAAGAGTCTATTTGGAGTTTTAGCCATAATAATGTAAACGTGACAGGTCGTCTGCACTGTCTAAACGTGATGTCTGCATCCACTATGGTCAACATAAAGACTTCCCTCTACTATGTATTCAGTCTGGTGTTCGTTGCGTCGTTGATTCTTTGCCTATGATCCTCTGTCCATCTTACATATTACATCTTACAGGCCAACCACTTATGAGCAGTTTGGGTGTGGGTCAGGACCATGACCCCAGGTATGTATGGAATAAGATTTTTGCATGAATGAAATATTGTTGTGAAGCAAATAGTCACTGTTTACCAATTTTAAAGACAAATAACGTAGCTCTTCCACAACATTACTTAACATTACTTAACCAACCACTTGATATAATGTGCAGCAGATCATTTTCAACAAAAAACTATATGGCCACAGTCTCCAAAATGATTGAGAAACACAGCAGTGGGCCTGTATTCAATCGTCATCATGTCCGAGTTCCTATTCCCCAGAGCCCACTTCCTTCTTCTATTATACTCAAGTGCCTTTGTTCCTTTCCCCTTGTAGTGTCTCGGCTTTGACCTTGTTTTCTCACCAGGATCGTGGTGACGATGAGCGTCCTGTTGGTCAGAGAGTCGGTCACATTGTTATTCTTGTCTCGGTCATTCTCCGTCAGGTTCATGCCTGTGTATGAGTTCCACACAGCGATCTGCAAAGACAAACGCAGAAGTCAATCTGACTTTGTGTAAACAGCCACCTCCAGCATCGAGTCCCATATACGCAATCATACATCATTTTGCACTTAAAATATAAATATACATGTTTTTTGCTATTGTGTGATGTATTAGATCTTCAGGAATATTTAGATCTTAGGTCACAAGTTTTTAAAAGACAGAAGAAAATAAGATTAAGAGATCCTTTATTTGTCGCACAATGGGGAAATTTCAGTGTTGCATAACCAGTTACAGAACAGTAGGAATGAGGAGCACACAACACATGATAAATGAACAATCGTAAATCATTTAGAGATAATTGCAAAGTCTACCATGGTTTGAAAATAAGTGAAAGGTTTGAAGGACCAGATACAGGGGAGTTTAGCACATATGAAAATTTAAAGGAATGTATTATGTGTTTTATAGAAAACTACAGGACTGGTTAGGGTAAGGGGCCAACCCTAACCCTAAACCTAGTGTGGTATTACTAAGAATGACCCGACGCTATCCTAAAATAACGTTTAAAAAAAATGAATAGTGTATAATAGCATAATGAAGAAGCAAGTATAAAATATCTAGGTTTCGCGTAGTAAGGAAGCAAGTCTAATATCTCCAACTTTAGCATAATGACAAAGCACTACTACTATCTGCTATACTTCACAAAGACTGGCCACACACATTGTGCCGTAAGTACACCTGATGCCTCAATCCAAGCCTCCTTCACAATGACAGACAAGTTTCCGTTGTCAGTATTCAAGCCACAATTTTATCTGTTAACCAAAAGACTGTATCCACACACACTTTTAAATGCACTGACATTTTTGATGTGAATATCTTTGTATGATATTAATGTTTTCTTTCTTGTTTTATAAAGCACTATGAATTGCATTGCGTATGAACCGTGCTAAACAAACACACTTGCTGCCTTGCCTTGTAATTCCTCATTTGGTCAGAAGTGATCCATCACAGAGCAAGTTTCAAAAGTAATCATTGCGTGGACGTTTTTCAGAACAGGCAAAAAAATGAGTCCTGGATGGGAGTCAAAACATCGCTAAAAAATTGGTCCAGATGACTACTTTTTGAAATTTGCTTGGAATGTACCTCAGGATAGTATTAAACTTGGACAATATGATTTAATAACTGCTAAAAAAAACAGATTTATTACAGTAATTAGGTTAGCCTCGCCGTAGTTATCACCCAAAGCTTAGCACAGTGATGTCACCTGTAGATCAATCAGTTTAATGCAACATAAATGAAAGATATTTAATTAGAGGACGTATTAAAAAAACCAAACCAAAACCCAAACCAATTTGTCATTATTCATTTTTGGCACTTGCCTTTTATTTTGGGTGAAATTCTGAATTGAAATATTCCCTAAGTGAAGTTACAGATATTGAAGTATTAAAACAACGGTACAAAAATGTCCTTTGAACCATTTTTGCAGAAAATCCTGGACAGTGTTGGTCTGTCTACTACTGCAAGTCAAAACCGAAATGATTTTCCAGGTTCATAAATGCATAAAGCAGCAACATGATGCATATTAATGACCTTTTTTCCTGATTCGCTGAACAGAAAAATTAAAAAGTACAAAGGTTAAAAGACCCAACTCGCCTGAGCTTCTGCACCATTCATGAAGCACTCTACAGGATTTCACATTGCTCAGCTGAGCGTGATTTACTTTGGGCAAACTAAGCAGAAAGTGTGTTAATACAAAGGCTATGATAACAGAAAGTTGGCAAAAAATAAGTTCTTTTTAAAAGTTCTGGGATTATGCGAGAAGAACCAAGAACTGAAATGGCCTGAAATAAGAAACATGAGAAATGGCCGTACAGGAAGTACATACAAATCTACAAAGATTTGTATGTAGACAGACAGATAGATACTTCATTGATCCCCTTGTAGGAGGTGTCTCTGTCTTTGTCTTGTCTGTTTATATATGGTCTGTTGGATATTCTTTGTCCATCTTCTTTTATCCTGCCTTTTTATTGAATGATGCCTGTATGATTTTAGTTGGTTGCAGAGCAACATTTTTTGCGGCATCTTTTTTGTTTTGAATTGTCAATGCCATCTGCCATGAGTTGTCAGACCTTGAAATAATGCAAATAAAAACAATTATATAAATAAAGTAAATAAATAAAGTATAAAGTATATAAATTAATGTGTCCAGCAGCAGAAACACATCCATCCATAAAAAAAAACACTGTTTCAGAGCGAGTTAGGACTTGCTGCCGTTTCCAGCGCATGGATCTCAGTGTAGGACCCTCTGGTTATGAGCTCTGGGTAATAACTGAAAGGACAAGATCATGGATCATCCAAGAGTGCACTGTATTCCCAGGCATAGTCCCTCCAACGTGTCCTGGGAAGCGTCCCGGAAAAAACAGATGCCAAAAGAGAGGTCCGAGCCACCTCAACTGGCTCCTCTCGATTTGGAGAAGCAGCAGCTCCACTTCGAGCTCCTCCTTTTCTAAGTTTTGTAAATATGTAAATAATGTTTCCGTCACAATAAATAGTATCATAACCAGACAGTTACTTTAGTCTCTGCATCTTAATTACTCACCCCAGCCCCAGCACTCAAAACTTAATCTGTTCTAGATTAGCTCCATGAATAATAATAATTAAAACAATCACGATTAATTTTTTTAAGATCATGAGTCAAATTATTGGGTAATTAATTTCTGCCAATCGTCAAGCATCTCTACAATATACTGTATAGTTAGCATTTTGGCAAAACAAAAACACAATATTATTTTTAATCTGCGTTTACGACCACAGATTCTGTTTTATTCAACTTCTGACTTTAAAAAACGACTGAATAATAAAGATGTTACGGGTTTGGAAGCAGCATTTATCCTTTCTTTGCCTGCAGCTCATTCCCGGCATCAGTAAACATGAAGGATCACACAAGGTCGGCAGAGTAAATAGATCCAACATCTCGTCTGTCCTCCGCACTTCACTGGTAACTGGATGAGTTCATGAGGGCAGGCGACATAATCCAGATAGTTATCAGATTAGCGGAGGCGGCTGGAGGCTGGATTTGACCCTTTCACATTCGTCACTTCAGATTAAGTGCATTTACTGTCTGGATTGATCGTCCTGGCAAAATTGGATTAATGATTAGCTTAATAATTACAGAAAACAATACTCATGTGAAAATCAATATTTGAAATAGATTCACATGTTTTTTTTTTTTTTAATCATTTGAAAATTATAGACTGTAGTTTAAAGTAGTTCAATGATTACAGTTTACAGTAATTTAATGATCATAGCTGTCAAAATATTGGACTTTATCAACATTTTCTGATATGTTTTATCATAACAAATACAGGCTAACCCATTTTAATCCAAGGTGTAATTTTAAGGTATAATGGTTTTAAATTAATTGTGTGATTATATTTTCTGTTTTAAATATTTTTTTTGTGATCTTAATGTTTGTTTTTTATCATAATTTTTAAGTGTTTTTCTTAATGTTTATTTTGTAGATTTGAAGGTTTATGACTTATGCCTGATGTGATATGGGTTGTGACGCGCTTTGTGTGGCCTTGTGTAAGTGTTATTGCTGTAATTTACAGTCAATCCTGACAAAATCACAAACACAAATGACATAGTTCGGCCTTTTTAATACTTGGTTGCCTTATCAGTAAGAAAGGCGCTCTAACAAATAAAAGATCATTCTGATATATCAGATTTGTATTTTCGATATTTCAAATGTATCTGGTGATGGGGAAATATATGTGAAGTTATCAAATCACTAGCAATCATATCATTCTGACACTTTTCATGTAATTGTATTGTTTTGATAAAAGGTCTTATCACAGTCTGTGTCGTGCTATATTAACAAACTACACAAAAAGAGTTAGAACAAAACAGTTTGGACAGTTTCTTCTACTAAAAGCCAAAGTTTTAATCATGATTTTTGCTTTGAAAAAAACTAAAAGCAGTTCCTAATTATGATCACGATGGAGCTGCTTTAAGTTAAAGTGAAAATTGTCAAAGCAGTTCCAACTAAAGAGCCGTATTGACCTGAGTTAAGGCCAGTCAAATTGGAAACTCGAGAAAACTCATTATGTAAAATCAGCTTTGTACAACATGGCAAGCATTTAACTCCTCGTTATGTCCATTTATTTGTAGACGCGCCATCCAAACAGACAAAATGTTTTCACTTTGAAGCAGCTAAAAGCATTTTTATCTGCACCCAAATAGTCTTCTCCACACTCTGGCTCTCATAAATCTGCCGTATCTCCAGCCTCAGAGATTACAACACACTCAGAGGGACAGCTTCTAATTAACTCTATTGTCCTGAATCCCCCCCTCGTTCCGTTGAATGCACACAACAAGGCATTCTGGGAGGATGTGGAGCAGGTCCTTTACGTATGTTTTTTTGTATGGCTTTTTACATGTTTTATATATTTATTATTATTTATTACAGTACTGTGTGTATGTGATACGAAACTCTGTGCAATATGTAGTAATTAAATAAGTAAGTAAAGTTTATTCCATATAGCGCTGAGTTACCCATTTATACATCTGAACCTATATCCATAATCAGATCCTCTGCAGATATAGAATGTGTCCTATAATGTTCAATTAAATGATAATAGCTACTTCCGGGTTTTCCCACGATAGCTTTTTTGTGCCTTAAAACCTTATTTTTGTCATGAAAACATTAACAGATAATTCTGAAAACCTCTGTGCATGTGTATTAATAATGTATATGTATAATGTATTCTCCGATCAACATTAAATGTGTTGATTGATTGCTATGGAAAGTAGGCGTAGACCAATCAGAACAGGAAGGGGGCGGGGCTTTGGCCGTTTTTTTCAAATCATGTACAGTACCTCTCTCTCCGTCTGTTTTGAACTGACAACCTCCCGGACAAATCACTTTAAAACTGCAGTCATAGGCATCTATGCACGCACCACTTCCTGGATTTAGCTAAAGCCCCACACTATCACATCCTGTTCACTGGAAACAGCTTTGGAGTTTCACACTGCGAGT